TATTCTATATGCATTTGAGAGCGCCAATAAAACTTTGCTGATCAGCATGAGGGCTGGAGTTGAGGGAGGAGACTGAGAGACAGAAAGACCAGGAGAGGGAACGTGGCCCTGATGCTCATGAGTGAATGAATGATCTGCCCCAGTATACCCTCGGATGGAGTGGGAGCGTTCATTCACATCTATCATGACCTGGCTTTTTTTCTTTTCTTTTTTTTTAATTCTGTAGAATAATTCCTTTTCCCCTAAAGAAAATCATGTACCTGGTTTAAAAAAAGAAAAAAAAAATCAAACATTACTCATGTTTACATAGTGAAAATCAAGTGTCCTTGTCTTAAGACTGCCAGGGCCAGGAGCAGCGAGCAGTTCATGCCTATAATCTCAGCACTTTGGGAGGTGGAGGCAGGCGGATCACCTGAGGTCAGGAGTTCAAGACCAGCCTGGCCAACATGGCGAAACCCTGTCTCTACTAAAATACAAAAATTAGCCAGGCGTGGTAGCACATGCCTGTAAGCCCAGCTACTCAGGAGGCTGAGGCAGGAGACTCGCTTGAACCCGGGAGGCGGAGGTTGCACTTGAGCAAAGATCATGCCACTGTACTCCAGCCTGGGCAACAGAGCAAGACCCTGCCTCCAAAACAAAAACAAAAACAAAAAAAAGATTGCCAGACTTAGACACTATCTTCCCTCCCTCTCTAGGTCTAATACTACTACTACTAGTAGTAATAGCTCACATTTTTTGAGTTGTTACTATGTGCCAGAAACAAAATTTCCTAGACTTATTAATTCATTCAAATTCCCTATAACTTTCTGAATATGTACCGTTTATGATCCTCATTTTTTCAGATAAGAATATCACATCACAAATAAGTTAAATAACTTACCCAAAGTTGCACAACCTATAAGCAATGGAGCTGGAATTCAAACCCAGGTGGTCTGGCTCCCCAGCCTGTTTGCTTAATTTAATTCACATTACCCTAAATTATTTTCATTGTAGTGGCGTAGAAATTTCTGGATACAAAGTGACAGGGGTCAAAAGGTTTTGCATGGTTCCCTATCATAGGTGATACTAAGCAGATCTTATCTACCTGGTCCCTGAGCTGGTGTGGTTCCCAAGTGTTTTGCCCACAGCCGCCCACTATCATCATTTCTCGTATGTCCTTCCTGGGTTGTGTAAGCATAGGGATAGTCTCTCTACAGAATTATAAACCAAGTAGTTAAAATTCACCTTGAAAGTCATTTATTTTCAGTTTGTAACTCATTTTTTTATTAGCTAATATTCTATTTATTTATTTATTTAACCAATCCTTTGGCGATGGACATTTATATTGTTTCCAAACAACACTATAGTGAATCTCTTTCGATAAAAATCTTCTGCATAAAGGATTTATGCATAAGTAAAAGCTACACTATATTCCTGACAGTGAAATTGTTAGATGAAAAGTTACGTGCATTTTAAAATTTAACAGACTGTACTTTTTTTTTTTTGATACAGGGGTCTCGATCTATCACCCAGGCTGGAGTGCAGTGGTGTGAGGCTCACCACAGCCTCAACCTCCCCAGGCTCAGGTGATCCTCCCACCTAAGCCCCCTAAGTAGCTGGAACTACAGGCATGTGCCACCACACCCGGCTAATTTTTTTGTATTTTTAGTAGATATGGAGTTTTGCTCAGTTTGGAACTCCTGGGCTCAAATGATCCGCCTGCCTTAGCCTCCCAAAGTGCTGGGATTATAGACATGAGCTACTGCGCCTGGCCCATGTTAAGTTTTAAAGTTAACACTGATAGGGGGGTATGTGAGGGTAAAATATATAGAGCCTTGCAGATCACTGAAAAGGCTGCATTCTACTCTGTGGTGGGAATCTATTGAAGAATTTCTATTAGAGGAAGATCTTTAAGGGGAAAAAAATGCAGACAAATTATCCTTCTTTCCTTGGTCTCTGCTCCAAAGAGGTTTTGTGAGAACCTGTGGTACAATTTTGGATGTTTAAGATGGGGAGCGCTCCTCCAATGGTTAGGAGGGACACAAGACAGAAATAAAGATTGCTTTATAGGCCTTGGGGAACATGTGGTGCACTTGGAGGCCATACACCTGGAGGTCAGGGAGCACAGGCTGGGAGAGAAAGAGAGCAACACATGGGCCAACGCCCTTATTGGGTCCAAGGTGTTATCCAAACAGGTTTCCCATTGGGGAGTTTTAACTGGTGGGTTTAAAGCAACTAGGCACAAGTTTCAGGTCATGCGGTGACTGAGAGGTGGTCATTGTGTCATACCTGCATGGTCAGTGTAGAGTGTGAGGACCATTCAAGTAGGTTGCGTGTAGCTGTCCCATAGGGAAGTGTTCACTGGGGAATAACTATAAGGGCAGTATCTGGACTGGCCACATTGAGGAATGGAGGTAGGGTGAGGGTGAGGTATAGAACAGGAAACTACGTCAAGGGTGACTGAGCCCTGTTTCTGGTATTGGAAAGTCAAACATAATCAAAATGGATGCTGAGGCAACACAAAATTATAAGAATCCACTATAACCAGGTTAGGCAGTAGAGCATTTAGAAACCCTCTACTTAGTTGTTCTTTCAAATCGAAAAATGAATCAGCGAATATTTTCTATCCAGAATCACTTTGTAGGTTTGGTGCTTCTGTGACATGGGCACTGCTGTGTGTGGCTGGATCTGCTCCACAGAGGAGGTAGGGACAACACATTGCCTTATAGATCTTCAGAATGCCTATTTTTATTATTATTAATAATTTCACCACTGCTTTTTTTTTTTTTTTTTTTTTTTTTTTTGAGACTGAGTTTCACTCTTGTTGCCCAGGCTGGAGTGCAATGGCATGATTTTGGCTCACTGCAACCTCCGCCTCTCAGTTCAAGCGATTCTCCTGCCTCAGCCTCCCGAGTAGCTGGGATTACAGGTATGTGCCACCACACCCGGCTAATTTTTTGTATTTTTAGTAGAGATGGGGTTTCTCCATGTTGGTCAGGCTGGTCTCCAACTCCGGACCTCAGGTGATCTGCCCACCTCAGCCTCCCAAATTGCTGGGATTACAGGCGTGAGCCACCGTGCCTGGCCAAACCACTGTTCTTTAGAACAAGTAAGTACCTGGTTTTGAGTTATCAATGGAACTACTTTGATTTTGGGCTGAATAGTTCTTTTAGGTGGTATTAATCTAGCTTTGTTCTCCTTGATTTCCTCTCCCTTATACTCCAGATAGTCTCTTTACATGTCTTTGTCTTCTTATGTTCTTTTTACGGAACTTGAAGAAAGAAATTGCTTGAAAATGGCAATTCCTGCCTTTTGGGAAAGATTATGCCAAGAATTCAGAAGGTGGAAGAAAAGTCAGGTGGATCTGGAATCGATCCTTGGAAAAATGTGCAACAGGCTCCAAATTTGGTGTATGTGAAGTAGGGAACAGGCAGGCTAATCCCCAATGCAGGGATCCTAGCCTCTGCAGAGATTTCTGGTCTCCCACCCCCATGTTGCAGGGTGGCCAGGCCAGACTAGACAGGAACCATGTGGCTTGAAAATGAGGATATGAATGGTAACTGATAGCCTGGAGATGTTCTAGAAATTTGAGATCTTCCATTTTTTTCCAGACACCCCAGAGTCTTTCAGGTTTTTGTATGAAAGTAAGTGCTATGGTTTGTGTCCCCTCCAAAACTTATGTTGAAACATAATCCTTGGCCAGGCTCAATGGCTCACGATTGTACTCCTAGCACTTTGTGAGGCTGACGCAGGAGGATCACTTGAGCCCAGGAGTTGGAGACCAGCCTGGGCAACACGGTGAAATCCTGTTTCTGCAAAAAAATACAAAAATTAGTCAGATGTGGTGGTGCATGCCTATAGTCCCAGCTACAGAGACTGAGATAGGAGGATTGCTTTAGCCTAGGAGTTTGAGGCCACAGTGAGCCATGATCGCACCACTGCACACTAGCCTGAGTGAGAGTGGGACTGTGAGGAAGGAAGGAAGGAAGGAGGGAAGGAGGGAAGGAGGGAAGGAGGGAGGGAAGAAGGGAGGGAAAGGAAGGAAAGGAAGGCCCAGGCAGGCAGACAGGCCAGGCATGGTGGCTCACACTGGTAACTCCGGCACTTTGGGAGGCCAAGGCAGGTGGATCACTTGGGGTCAGTGTAAGATTCTCCCCGGGGCCTGAAAGCCTAAGGAGATGAATAACTCCTCCCTTCTCAGGCCCAGTCTTTTTTTAATTTTTTTATTTTTTTGAGACGGAGTCTCGCTCTGTCGCCCGGGCTGGAGTGCAGTGGCCGGATCTCAGCTCACTGCAAGCTCCGCCTCCCAGGTTTACGCCATTCTCCTGCCTCAGCCTCCCGAGTAGCTGGGACTACAGGCGCCTGTCACCTCACCCGGCTAGTTTTTTGTATTTTTTTTTTTATTAGTAGAGACGGGGTTTCATGGTGTTAGCCAGGATGGTCTCAATCTCCTGACCTCGTGATCCGCCCGTCTCGGCCTCCCAAAGTGCTGGGATTACAGGCTTGAGCCACCGCGCCCGGCCCAGTCTTAAGGCACAAGGCTACTTGTGCCAGCAGCATGTGTCAGCAAAGTAGCAAAAGCAGAAAGAGAGCCTGCGGGAAGACACGCCCTGAAGATCTGAAGATCTAGAAAGAGGCCATCCGGGTACAATGTAGCAGTTACGTCAGACTAGGAGGCTTCTTGTTTACAGGAGACTATAAAACCTTTGCCCCTCCTCACTTGGGGCTGACACCATTTTAGGCCTCAGCCCGCCTGCACCCAGGCGCTCATTAAAACAGCATGTGGTTTCACACTGCCTCGTGTTGTCTATTGGCAGGCTTTCAGGTTTCAAACCGATAAAAGAACCTTACATCTGGAGCCAAAACCCAGGAGGAGCTCAGGTCTGCGTCCCGCATGGACCTACCCCTCCACCCCGGAGAGCAGGCCACAGCAGCTAGACAAGGGAAGCTCCTCAGCCTCCAGTCGCCTCTCTGTGCATGCACATCGGTCACTGGTCTCGACTAATGGTAAGTTTCCCCGGGAGCCCAGTTAACAGGGAACAATTCGCATGGTCTCTCAGTTTCTCCCGTCTGAAAATCCAGTGTTGGTCCAAGAAGGGTCTGGTGTGTGCCAGGTACTCACTGATCATCTGGTCTTAGGGGGATGCCTCTAAGCCATTTGATCCCGTTCCAGAACGAAAAAGGCAGCGGTGATGGTCGCTCCTTTTATGGTCTCCCTCCGGCTGTCCAGGACGGTCTCCTTTTTCCCTGTTCTCCCGAGCCCACCCTCTGTTATAGGAAACTCCTGGTCCTCCATTCCAAAAAACAGCACTCTAGGCTGCCTCATAAAAAACCTGCAAACCTTAGGCCTCAGGCAAAATATCCACCCTAAGCACCTTGTCTTTTTTTGCAATACAGCCTGGTAGCAGTACAAATTAAATAACAGGTCCAAGTGGCCCGCAAATAGAACATTCAACTTCACAATTTTAACTCATTTAAGCGATGATTGCCGACAACTGGAGAAATGGGAGGAAATTCCTTATGTCCAGGCCTTTTGCACTCAGATCACAACCCGACCTCCGCAGTTCTTGCTAACCTGTTCAAATCCTCCTCCTTCATTCCCATCACCCAGATCGCCTTTCTCCTCCCAACCGTACCTCTTTTTTCTGGTTTAATCCAGCTGACTACTGTCCTCCCAGCCCCTACGGTTTCCTCTCAACTGTCTTCTTTAATCCCCCAAGCCTCCTCATTGTCTTATCAGCCACCATCTTCCCAGCCGCCATCTTCCCAGTCAGCTGTATCCACTTCTTTTCCTACACCATCCCCCCTCAGGACAATTCGAGTATTGCTTGTACCCATTCTCCTCCACAGCTGCCCTCTCCTGAGGCTTGTAAACCCATCCTGCCACCTTACGCCCCTATCTGTCCTCCACTCCATGTTAATGCAATCCCCCTTCCCCCTTCAAACCCTCAGCAGGAACCACTATCTTAAACCTTCCGTTCATCTCCCAATCTACCCCTGATATTCGGGGCAAGCTTCAGAAGCTTGATGACGGCCCTCAAACCCCACAACGAGACCTTCTTAACTTAGCCATCAAAGTCTTTAACAATCGTGATGAGAAAAGTAAAAGGTAAAAGCTGGCAGAGTTTCAAATGCCTGCCTCCGCCATCAGGGGCCCTGTAGGCCCATGGGGCCACAGCTCCACAGGGAAGCCTCCTAACAATCCACCTCCACTTGGTGCCTGTTTCAAGTGTGACAATGAAGGCCACTGGTCCAGACAATGCCCAAACCCAGGTAAGCCCACCAGGCCATGCCCCCTCTGCGGAAGACCCCACTGGAAGTCGGACTGTGAGCGGCCCCCGAGGACTGCCCCCGTCCCTTTCTGAGCCGGCCTACTTGGATCTCATTGGCCTTGCTGCTGAAGACTGATGGTGCCCTGGAACGGATGTCCCAGCAACTACCATCGCTTCATCCAAGCCAAGGGTAACCCTGGTGGTGGCAGGTAGGCCAGTATGTTTTTTAAATTAATCCTGGGCAATCTACTCTGCTTTACCTCATTTTTCAGGACCCACCCAGTCCTCCCAAGTCTCTGTTGTGAAAATTGACCAACAAGTCTCCAAACCCCAAGCCACCCCTCCACTTTTCTGCTCCCTGCACACTTTCTCCTTCACTCACTCTTTCTTAGTCCTGCCCTCATGCCCAACTCCACTCCTAGGCAGAAATATCCTTTCAAAACTCCACACTACTCTTCACTTCCACATTCCCCATAGTACCCAATGCATCCATCCAGACCCCGCCAGTACTTCTAGCTTTCTTCTACTCTTTCAACCTCCCACCGTAAAACGTGCAGCCTTTCCTTGTCCTCCATCCATAGTTAACCCTGCTGTTTGGGATACTTCCACACCCTCAGTCACAGAACACCACACCCCCATTCACATTACCCTTAAAAAGCCCCCCCAGTTCCTATCACAGAAGCAGTATCCTATCTCCCAAGCAGCTCTCATACGCCTAAGGCCTATCATTTGTCACCTCCTTGCCAGTCACCTACTCTGCCCAACAGACTCCCCTTTTAACACATCAATTCTACCTGTTACAAAGCCAAACGGAACTTATCACTTAGCCTGAGGTCCTTAGTCCAGGACCTCAGGCTCATTAACCAAGTTGTACTCCCGGTATGTCTAGTAGTTCCTAACCCATATACTTTACTTTCCGCAGTTCCCTCCAATACTACCCATTTTTCTGTTCTAAACCTAAAGGATGCTTTTTTTCACAATTCCTTTACACCCTAATTCCCAAAACCTCTTTGCCTTTGCGCGGGAAAACCCTGACACCCAACTTTCATGTCGGCTCACCTGGTGCATACTATCTCAAGGTTTCATAGACAGCCCCCACCTTGCTGTCAACCTCTGTACCTTATTTCTAAAACAGTCCACTCTCCTTGAACATGTTAATAATCTACTCCTGTGTAGCCCCTCTCAAAGAGACTGCAACGTCCATACTATCTCTCTTTTAAATTTCTTGGCAGAACGGGGGTATCAGGTCTCCCCTTAAAAAGCACAAATATACACCCCCTCAAGTCACCTATCTAGGCCTAGCTCTTACCCCGCGAACCCAAGGGCTCACAACCAACCACATATCACTCCTCCAGTCCCTCCCGCCTCCACAAACTAAGCAAGAATTTATTTTTTCTAGGACTAGCGGGATATTTTAGGCTCTGGGTTCCCTCCTTTGCTCTACTTGCCAAACCGTTACACCAAACTGCTAAAGGCCCTCTCCATGAGCCTTTAAAACCTACACAGCCTTCGGGCGCGGTGGCTCACGCCTGAAATCCCAGCACTTTGGGAGGCTGAGGCGGGTGGATCACAAGGTTAGGAGTTCAAGACCAGCCTGGCCAAGATGGCGAAACCCTGTCTCTACTAAAAAAAATACTAAAAATTAGCTGGGCATGGTGGCATGCGCCTGTAATCCCAGCTACTCCAGAGGCTGAGGCAGAGAATTGCTTAAGCCTGGAGGGACAGAGGTTGCAGTGAGCGGAGATCGTGCCACTGTGCTCCAGCCTGGACAACAGAGTGAGACTCCATCTCAAAAATAATAATAATAAAATAAAAAATTAAACCTACACGGCCTATTACCCAACCTTTCTGTCTACTCCAAAAGGCTCTCATCTCAGCCCCCTTCCTCACTCTCTAGATCTCACCAAACCTGTCTCCCTCTATACTGACAAACGGCCTAGAGTCGCACTAGGTGTTCTAACCCAGTCTAAGGGACCCACCCTCCAGGTTGTTGCCACCTCTCTAAACAGCTTGAAGCCACAGTTCTCAGATGGCCTGCCTGCCTCCAAGCATTGGCAGCAGCTGCTGTCCTCACTCTTGAAAGCCTAAAACTATCTCTCCAGGCCAACCTAACAGTTTATTCAACCCATAACATCAAAGATATGCTAGCTCACCACAGTGTACTAAGTCTCATCTCTGCCCCACGGCTCCTCCAACTGAATGCTCTATTCATAGAAACCCCCCAAATCCCACGCGAACCAGCTCCCATCTAAACCCGGCCACGCTCTTACCAAGACCCTACACATATCTGTGTGAACACTGTTCAAACCTTTTTTATACCTTTTCTAAATCTAACAGATGAACCCCTTCCAGATGCCTCCTTTACTTGGTTTGTCGATGGGAGCTTCTTCCTACATCAAGGACGCTGGCATGCTGGCTATGCTATAGTGTCACCTCTACATACTATTGAAGCCAATCTGCTCTCCCTAAGCACCACCACCCAGAAAGCTGAACTCATCACTCTCACTAGAGCTCTCACTTGAGCAGCCAGACAACAGATCAACATATATGCAAATCTTGGCCGGGCACAGTGGCTCACGCCTGTAATCCCAGCACTTAGGGAGGCTGAGGCGGGTGGATCATGAGATCAGGAGATCGAGACCACCCTGGCCAACATGATGAAACCCTGTCTCCACTAAAAATACAAAAATTAGCTGAGCATTTTAGTGTGTGCCTGTGGTCCCAGCTACTTGGCAGGCTGAGGCAGGAGAATCACTTGAACCTGGGAGGTGGAGGTTGCAGTGAGCTGAGATCGCACCATTGCACTCCAGCCTGGGTAACAGAGCAAGACTCCATTTCAAAAAAAAAAAAAAAATATATATATATATATATATATATGCAAATCCTCGTTATGAGTTCCACATAGTGCACTCACACTCGTCCATCTGCAAAGAATGGGGTTTCCTAACTGCAAAAAAACGCTCCTGTCATAAATGGCTCTCTCATCAGCAAACTCCTTCAAGCTGTCAGGCTCCCGCAGAAAGTTGCCGTCATTCATTGCAGAGGCCACCAAACCCCAGACAATCCTATAATAGCTGGAAATGTGCTAGCAGATCGGGCAGCCAAAGAAGTAGCTCTACAACCCATGCAAGGCCAGTTTCTGTCCCTGTCCCTGTTCTCTTCTCTTTACTCCTCAGAAGAAAAGGAGGACTTCTGAGCCCAAAACCTTCAAAAGCAAGGACCATGGTATGTCAAGGAAGGGCTCTTCGTTTTTTCTCACTCTCAAACAATCCCTATCCTCCAAAGCCTCCACAATTCTTTCCATGTTGGTTACAAACCTCTCTTGCAACTTCTGTGCCCTATTCTCACTTTCCTCATCTTTCCAGCCATGTTCAAGAAATTACCCAGTCCTGCTCTATCTGCCACTCAATGTCACCCCAGTGCTCCCTTCAGCCGCCACCTTCTCCTACCCACCAACCCCGGGGCCAGTTACCCGGGCAAGATTGGCAAGTAGATTTCACTCACACGCTGCCAGATAAACGGCTCCGCTATTGTCTAGTCTTTGTCTGTGCTTTCTCCGGGTGGGTAAAAGCGTTCCCAGCAACTTCAGAAGGTGCAAACATCCTCACACAAACTCTCGTCATACATATAAGTCCCCGTTTTAGACTCCCAACATCCATCCAGTCCAATAACAGGCCCGCCTTCATCAGCCAAATTAACCAAGGCGTCTCTACATCCTTAGGAATAAAGTGGGTTATCCACACACCCTACAGGCCTCAATCTTCAGGCAAAGTTAAAAAAAAATTAACTGTCCTTAAAGCCCAATTCATCAAGCTGGCTCTAGAAACCCACCAGCCGTGGACAAAAAATCTCCCTTTTGCCCTCATAAGACTCCGCACAACACCAAAGGCACCCTCTTTTCATAGCCTTGGAATCATGTATGGCCAAACTTTTGTCTTGGGGCCTCCACCCTTACCAGACTATGAGCCACTCAGGAATTACCTCCCCTCCTTAATCCAGATGCGGTCTTTCATTTGTGAAGCAGCAAATGAGACCATGCCTCTCCCTGTCGACACCACCTTGTCCTCTCAACATAACTGTCTTGCAGGCACAGATGTGTTTATCTGTCAATCCGACCGTCACCAAAAGCTACAATCGAAGAGGAGATGCCCCTACCCTACACTGTGATACTCAGCATGCCAACTGCAGTGAGAGTCCAAGGACTGCCCCACTGGGTCCATCGCACCAGGGTCAAGCTCACCCCCAAGGGTACTCCTTCCTCCAAAACATTAACAGCGGGCAACACCCTCAGCGTCCTTGTATATAATAACCTAAACAAAGAAAAACGATCCTTAAAGGTAGGAGGAAGCCAAAGATGGCAAGGGAACGAATGGCCTCCGAAACAGATCATCGAATATTACGGTCCTGCCACTTGGGATAAGAATGGTTCATGGGGTTACTGCACTCCTTTATATATGCTAAATAGAATAATTAGACTACAGGCTATTCTAGAAATACTAACCAAACCGCCTCAGCCCTGGAAATGCTCGCGCAACAACAAAACCAAATGCGCACGGCAATTTATCAAAACGGGCTAGCACTAAATTACTTATTAGGAGAAGAGAGTGGAGTCTGTGGTAAATTTAATGTATCTAATTGCTGTCTTAACATAGATGATAACAGAAAAGTGGTTCTAGAAATCGCTTCAAACATCAGAAAAGTTGCCCGTGTACCAGTCCAAACCTGGAAGGGATAGGACCCAGCAAACCTTCTAGGAGGGTGGTTCTCTAATTTAGGAGGATTTAAAACGCTGGTAGGGACAGTAATCTTCATCACTGGGCTCCTCCTGCTTCTCCCCTGTGTTATCCCACTGATAATAAAAGCCATTAAAACTCTTGTTGAAATTACAGGTAACTGCCAGACTATCCAGGTGACACTCCTGCTACAACGACATGATGGATACAATTCTCAAGAATACCCCAAAAATTAAGTTTTTCTTTTTCCAAGGTGCCCACTCCACCCCTATGTCACGCCTGAAATAGTTATTGAGAAAGTTGTTCCTTTTCCCTTTTGTATAACCAAACAGACAGGAATATATAAGATTCTCCCCGGGGCCTGAAAGCTTAAGGAGATGGATGACTCCTCCTTTCTCGGGCCCAGTCCACAAGGCTACTTGTGCCAGTAGCGTGTGCCAGCAAGATAGCAGAAGCAGGAAGAAAGCCAGCGGGAAGACATGTAACCCTGAAGATCGAGAAAGAGGTCATCTGTGTACAATGTCAGACTAGGACACTTCCTGTTTACAGGAGACTATAAAACCTTTGCCCCGTCCTCACCTCAGGCTGACGCCATTTTAGGACTCAGCCTGCCTGCGCCCAGGCGCTCATTAAAACAGCACGTTGCTCCACACCGCCTGGTGGTGTCTGTCGGCATGCTTTTGGGGTTCGAACCAATACAAGAACCTTACGGTAAGGAGTTCGAGACCAGCCTAGCCAATGTGGTGAAACCCCATCTCTACCAAAAATATAAAAAATTAGCCAGGTGTGGTGGCACGCACCTGTATTCCCAGCTACTGGGTGGCTGAGGCAGGAGAATTGCTTGAACCTGGGAGGCAGAGGTTGCAGTGACCCGAGATCACACCACTGCACTCCAGCCTAGGCAACAGTGAGTCTCTGTTCTCAAAAAAAAAAAAAGAAAAGAAAAGAAAAAAGAAAAGGAAGGAAAGAGAGAGAGCGAAGGAAAGAAAGAAAGTCCTCAATGTGGCAGTATGGCAGTATTTAGAGGTGGGGCCTTTAAGAGATGATTGGATCATGAGAGCTCTGCCCTCGTGAATAGATTAGTTCATTCACAGATTAATGGATTATCATGGGAAGGGACCTAGTGACTTTATAAGAAGAAGAGATCAGGGCAATGGTGCACGACTGTTCTCCCAGCTACTTGGGAGGCTGAGGTGGGAGCATTGCGTGAGCCCAGAGATTGGAAACTGCAGTGAGCTATAATCACACCACTGCACTCCAGCCTGTGCAAGAGAGTGAGACCCTGTCTCTAAAAAAAGAAAAGAATAGAAAAGAAAATCACCAATTGGCAACCACCATAATAGTAATAAATGATTCAGACAAGAATCACCAATAAATCCTGAAATTTATGGACAAAAATTGGATGAGGAACAGGACATTTATATAGTCTAAAGTAGCTCATCACGAAAATAATCTGATTATTAATAGTACAAAATACTGTTTCACTTAACAGTGATGAAAAAAGACATTATCTAAACCAATGGATAAAAAGTTGACATCACAACTGGACATGGTGGCTCATGCCTGTAATCCCAGCACTTTGGGAGGCTGAGGCGGGGAGATCACCTGAGGTCAGGAGTTCCAGACCAGCCTGGCCAACATGGTGAAACCCCGCCTCTGCTAAAAATGCAAAAATTAGCCGGACATGGTGGCAGTCGTCTGTAATCCCAGCTACTCATGCCGCTGAGGCAGGAGAATCACTTGAACTCCAGAGGCGGAGGTTGCAGTGAGCCAAGATCGTGCCACTGCACTCCAGCCTGGGCAACAAGAGTGAGACTCCGTCTCAAAAAAAAAAAAAAAAGTTAGCAGTAATGGGACAAATTGCCATGTGCTTTCTGATGTGTGGCAGGAAAACCTATCACTGTGTGTTTTTCACCAAAAATGCATAGATTAAATCTAATTATAAGAAAGTATCAGGTAAGCCTAAATTTCAGAACAATCTACAGTGTAACTAGACTGTTCTTTTTAAAAATGTCAAGGTCCTGAAAGACATGAAAGTCCGAGGAACTGTGCCAGATTGGAAACACTAAAGAGGCAGAATAAGTACATGCAATTCAACCTTGGATTGGACCCTAGACCTATAAATGACATCATTAGGATGACTGGTGAAATTTGAATGAGCTCTGTGGATAAATGAAAATATAGTATCTATGTTAGTTTCTTTATTTTGTGGATATTACGTGGTTATGTAGGAGAGTGGTTTTCATTTTAGGAAATATGCACTGAAAGTATTACGGGGTAATGGAACTTCATATCCGCAATTTATTCTCAAAATGTTAAGAAAAATAGAGTCTGGGCGCAGTTGCTCATACCTGTAATCCTAGTACTTTGAGAGGCCAAGGTGGGAGGATAGCTTGAACCCAGAAGTTCAAGACCATCCTAGGAAACAGAGTGAGACCCCATCTCTATTTTAAAAAGAGAGAGAGAGAGAGAGAAGTGTGTGGCCAGGCACAGTGGCTCACGCCTGTAATCCCAGCACTTTGGGAGGCTGAGGTGGGTGGATCATCTGAGGTCGGGAGTTCGAGACCAGCCTGACCAACATGGAGAAACGTAGTTTCTATACAAAATTAGCCGGGCATGGTGGCACATGCCTGTAATCCCAGCTACCCGGGAGGCAGGAGAATCTCTTGAACCCAGGAGGCAAAGGTTGTGGTGAGCCGAGATCACGCCATTGCACTCCAGCCTGGGCAATAAGAGCAAAACTCCATCTCAAAAAAAAAAAAAAAAGCATCTGTGTGTGTATGTGGTGAGAGAGAGAGAGACAGAATAATAAGACAAATGTGATAGAACGTCAATAATTGGGTCATCTGAATGAAAGTTTTATGGGAATTCTTTGTGGTGTACTTGTAAGTTTTCTATAAGCTGAAATTATTTAAAAATAAAAAAATAAGACAGTGTTTAAAAATAAACCACCATGCCTACAAGAAAATTTTTCTAACCTTTCAAGGAACAGATAATTCCAATTTAATACAAGGCTTCCAAAGGATATAAAAAGAAGAAACATTCCTCAATTTAGTCTATGAGGCTAGTGAAATCTTGATACCTAAACTAGATACAGATAATGTAAAAAATGAAACAGACTAATCCCCCTTATAAACATAGGTGTGAAACTAAACAAAATATTAGTTTTTGTTTAGTTTCAAAACTGAATGCAACAAAACATAGAAAAGATACTACCACTTAAGTTCACTTTATCCCTGCAATATATTTCATCTAACACTAAAAATGTTTGTAAATGTAATTTATTACATTAATAGATTAAAGAAAAAAACCACATATTCTCAATAGTTGTAGGAAAAGTGTTTATGGAAAAACCCTTAGCAAACCAAGAATAGAGAGCAATTCTTGGTAACCAAATAAAGACTATCTACAAAAACCTATAGTAAACATCATTCTTAGTAAAACATTAGAGAAACATTAGACAATTTCTCTTTAAAAACCAGGATCAAGAAGAGGACGCTTACTGTTCTCATTTCTGGAGCTTGTAGCCATTGCAATAAGACAAGAAAGGGAGGGAGGAAGGAAAGGAGAGGAGAAGGAGAGAAGGGAGGTGGGCAGGTATTAGGAGTGAAAAGGAAGAAACAAAACGGGTTTTATTCAGAGATGATATAAATGTTTGCATAGAAAACTCAAAAGTCCTTTAGACAAATTATTATAATTAATAAGCTTATTAAGATAGCTGGATATAAAGTCAATATACAAAATTTAATTACATTTAGATTCATCAGCCTGAAAGAAAATATAATATCTCAAATGATACCAGTAACAGTAGCAAAATAGAGAACCTACTAATAAATTTAATAAAAGACATGCAAGAAATTAAAGGAGACCTAAATAAATGCAGAGTTAGTCATGAGCCAGGTTCCTGGATAGAGAGATAGAATCTTTAAAAATATGCTTTAAGAGCATAAACTTGATGGTTGACAAGTTATTTATCTGACTTATCTGCAAAATGGAGGTAATAATAGCACTTACCTCACAGGGCTGTTATGAGTGTTACAAGACAATACATACAAGAGGGATTAGAACAATGCCTGCCATGTAGGAAAGTTGTCTGGCACCATGCAGTGATCTTGGAATCAGAAGCCACACACAGCAGGGCAAAAAAATCAAAGCCTGGTTCCCTGAACAATACTGCAGTGACCACCTCTCAGTTTTTATGTGAGAGTGAAATACACTTTTTTTTTTTTTTTTTTTAAAAGACAGAGTCTTTCTCTGTTGCCCAGACTGGAGTGCAATGGTATGATCACTGCAGCCTCAAACTCCTTGGCTCAAGGGATCCTCCCACCCAAGCCTCCCAAGTAGCTGGGACTACATGCACGCATCATGCTGCCTGGCTAAATTTTGTATTTTCTCGTAGCGACTGAGTCTCTTTATGTTGCCTGGTCTTGAGCTCCTGGGCTCCAGTGATCTTCTTGCCTTGGCCTCACAAAATGCTGGGATTGTGGGCATGAGCCACCATGCCCGGTCCAAACGCTTTTTCTTTTTTTTGAGATGGAGTCTTGCTTTGTTGCCCAAGTTGGAGTGCAGTGGCACAATCTTGGACAGAGATTGCAACCTCCACCTCCCAGGTTCAAGCAATTCTCCCACCTCAGCCTCCCCAGTACCTGGGATTACAGGCGCCTGCCACCATGCCTGGCTAATTTTTGTATTTTTAGTAGAGACAGTGTTTCAACATGTTGGCCAGACTGGTCTCGAACTCCTGACCTCAAGTGATCCGCCTGCCTTGGCCTCCTAAAGTGCTGGAATTACAGGTGTGAGTCACCACACCTGGCCTCCAAATGCATTCTTTTTTTTTGAGACAGACTCTCACTGTGTCACTCAGGCTGGAGTGCAATGGTGTGGTATCAGCTCACTGCAACCTCCGCCTCCTGGGTTCAAGCTATTCTCCTGTCTCAGCCTCCTGAGTAGCTGGGACTATAGGTGTGTGCCACCACACCCGGCTAATTTTTGTATTTTTAGTAGAGATGGGGTTTCACTATGTTGGCCAGGCTGGTCTCAAACTCCTGACCTTGTGATCCTCATGCCTCAGACTCCCAAAGTGCTGGGATTACAGGCATGAGCCACTGTGCCTGGTCCCACATGCATTCTTGAAGGTCATACTTCCTTTCTGTTGATGTTTCACACCTAGCTTAATCTCAGTGGAGGGTTTTGGAAGCCAAAGCTAGGAGATGCAATATTTCTGATTTTTGCTTGAATGGGAGAAAAAGGAGGGGAAGAAAAAGACAAAGGGGAAGGAAAAAAGAATATGAATTGATCCTTTAAAAAATTATCCTTCCACAGTGGTTCATTCCACCTCAAGCTTAGAGTGGGGAGGCCAGTTCCTGCCTCTAAATGAATTCAGCAGCCCCAGCTCTCACTTTGGTGTGTGGTCCTTCTCGACGAAGAGAGTCAAACTCTGTAAAATATTTTAAGAGATTTATTCTGAGCCAAATACGAATAACATGACCCATGACATAGCCCTCAAGAGGTCCTGTAACATGTTCCCAACGTGGTTGGGCACAGCTTGGTTTTATACGTTTCAGGGAAGCATGAGACATCAATCAAATACTCAAGAAATACATTGGTTTTGTTCAGAAAGGTGGGACAACTCAAAGCTGGGGGCTTCCAGGCT